ATTTTACGTGCTATATGAGGCAAGAGATTCGACTTTTCAACGGAATTGGCTGCCTAGAGTTTTAGCATGCCAGGTTATAGGACAGTCATTACCCTCTGACATTACCAGTGAGAATCTTGCTAGGGAGAGGTACAACGGTGACTTCAGATTGCAGAAGGATCTGAGCTTGCGTTCGATTAGCGTGAATATCCTTGCCAACAGGAATGTAACGCAGACCACGTCCACGCGTGAGCTTCCAGCGAGCCCCTCGCCACGGCCGAGCCAGCCCCAGGTTTGTGGCAAGGACCTAAAGTCCTGGACTGAACAAAATTAAGGTCCTCAACAGGTGTGATCATGAGATGCTCATGTGTTCTTATATTTTGCTCTACTCTAAATTATATAGACTGTTCGGATGAGTAGCTCCCGTTTCTTGGTGTGTACACTCGTGTAAATTTGTCTGTCGATTTCATATGTGCAGCGGAAACTGTCCGTGGTGCGGGCGTGGTGGTTGGGGGGCGTTAACATGGCTAAAAAATCCACTTATGAATGGCTCTTCTTCGTCGAGAAGCAAATGCGGATGACATCGTTCATATAGATAGTTCATCCTCCACAGCGATCCCCCTCCCCTCAATCCCGCTTAAGGCGATCCCCCTCCTCCCGCCTATTCCCCTGTCTCTTATACACATCTAGATGTGTATAAGAGACAGTTATTGCACGTTATAGGTAAACTATCATTACCACGACCTTTGAGTAAGCTATTCATAATCAATGGATTTCGTACACTCTTATAGTGTCTCCACACGATTGTGAAATTCGTTCATTCTCTACCTCGTAATCAGTTCCGAACGTATCCGCGTGTAATTTGAAACGTATCGCCTTAGTAGGAAGAATCCGCGTTGAGAATCATCGCTAAAATAGTCAGTTTATGGGGACATAGTTTGTTGAAGAGGTCTTGGACCGTCAAGGTGGGCTGAAAGACGCAATGAAGCGCTAGTAAATACCATATTCTATAGGGCCCGCGTGATTAGACGCGGTGACTCACAGTGACGATGAGCAAGGCTTTAGCTCCAGCCAGCAAACGTAACTAGAGAGGCCGGGTGTTGACTGACTATCGTCAATCGCTGCTGATTGCTGAAGGCACTGCATAGAGCCGCAAGTGTGATGTCACTGAAGGCGACATACGCAATCGATGTAAATTCATGTGTTCGGTCTACAAGTCTGTAGATACGAAATTGTGGAACGGAAGTACATTTTACGTGCTATATGAGGCAAGAGATTCGACTTTTCAACGGAATTGGCTGCCTAGAGTTTTAGCATGCCAGGNGCCTCTCGCCTATTCCCCCCTCCTCTCGCCTATTCCCTCCTCCTCTCGCCTATTCCCTCCTCCTCTCGCCTATTCCCCCCTCCTCTCGCCTATTTCCCCCTCCTCTCGCCTATTCCCTCCTCCTCCCGCCTATTCCCTCCTCCTCTCGCCTATTCCCTCCTCTCGCCTATTCCCTCCTCCTCTCGCCTATTCCCTCCTCCTCTCGCCTATTCCCTCCTCCTCTCGCCTATTCCCTCCTCCTCTCGCCTATTCCCTCCTCCTCCCGCCTATTCAGTATCGGAGATTTCATTTCCTCAAGGAGGATTTTATAGATTTAACAAGCAGGGGGGTAAGCAACACTAACACGCATTAGTATTCGCCGAACATGTTCGCGGGGGATGCTAATCTAATTCACACCAACGATGGGAGGATAAATAATGGGATGGCGTCGCGTGAGGGAGATGTTATGTTCAAGAATTGTGAGAACATAATCGAAAATGCTAAAATGGATTAATATCTCTCCCTCACAACCGCTGCGACATGGTTTTGGGCTAACGTCTGACATTAGGCTAATTCAAACATTAGCCCTAAATATTGTCGCACCGGTTGCAGACATTCGTCAACTTTAGGAGGAATTCTGGCACAAACTCTTCTGCCTACATGGAGTGGTGCGATCGTTACCAGGCGCAGCTCGTGGTGCTGGCTACCCAAGTCATCTACCGAAGATGCCCAAGAGCCCCTTGGGTAGGTGACTCGTCTCTTGTCAATGTCTTACAGCAAGTGGAGTCCACATTAACTCAGCTTGCTGACAACGTGCTGCAGGAACAGTTGCTCTGCGACGCGAAAAGCTTGAGAATCTCGTAAAGTAACGACGTCGTCGCAAGTGATTGTCACCGATGTATTCGTTGAAGTGCCTCGGCTCGCAAGAAACTCAAATTATCCTCGCCTGTTCTTCCTCGAAGATGAGGATTTTTTCGATTTAACCAGAGGCGGAGCTGACAACCCCAATATGCGTGGGCATCTGGCGAAAAATGTTCGCGGGGGTTGCGGCCATAATCGTCAACAAAGTTAAAAAACAATTATTTGTCGTTTTCATTTGTGTAGCGTCCACTTCGTTGATTTTGAGAAGGCATTTGATTCAATACACAGAGACAGCCTTTGGGCCATCATGCGCCAATATGGAATACCTCAGAAGCTGGTCTGGCTAGTCAAGACTCTCTACGAGGACTTTCAGTGCTCCGTGATTGATGAGAACGAAACGACAGAGTGGTTTCCAGTAAAGACAGAAGTGAAACAAGGGTGTTGCATGTCAGGATTTTTGTTCCTACTTGTGATCGACTGGGTAATGCGCAGGACTGTGGAAGGTGAAAGAACTGGGCTCCGATGGAATTTAACGACCATGCTGGAGGGCCTTGACTTTGCAGATGACATTGCCCTTCTGTCTTCAACAATGAATCACCTGCAGCAAAAAACAACCAGGTTAGAGAGTAATGCAGCTGCAGGAGCAACAAGCTGAGGGCTGGAGAGAGCGAGGTGGAGGAAGTGGAAAGCTTCACATATCTGGGTGCAAACGTCACTAAGGATGGTGGGAGCACAGTGGATGTGAGGAGGCGAGTGGCAATGGCAAGCGCGCAATTCAAAAGACTAACAAACATTTGGCAAGCCAGAAACATCAGCAGAAAGACCAAAACCTCCCTGTTCAAGAGCCTGGTTCTTTCAGTTTTGTTATACGGATGTGAGACCTGGAAACTAACTAAGGGAGAAGAGAGAAAACTAGATATCTTTCAGACCAAATGCTTACGGAAGATTTGCAAGATTCGATGGCAGCAACACATCTCAAACAAGTTGGTTCTTGAAATGACGGAAGTGGAGAAAATTAGTGATGTGGTGAGGAGACGGAGGTGGAACTGGGTGGGACATGTGTTGAGGAAGGACAGAGCAAGTGACTGTGCTGTGGCCCTCGGGTGGGCCCCTGAAGGAAGGAGGAAGAGAGGACGCCCAAAAACAACTTGGAGGCGAATGGTGGAAGAGGAGAGGAACAGAGCAGGCTGGAACTCGTGGAACACAGCACGGCAGGCAGCTGCAAACCGGACCCAGTGGAGGAGTGACGTCCAAGCCTTGTGCGCCTTATGGCGCGGAGAGAACTGAACTGAACTTTGTGTAGACTGTAGCGGCCCTAGCGGGCTCTTTCTCTTCCGCCGCCCATCCCCCTCCCCTCAAACCCGCTTAAGGCTATCCCCCTCCCCGCCTCCTCCCTCTAGCTCACGGCAATCCCCCTCTCCCATCTTGCACGAGTGCCCGTTTTAACAGTGCCCGTACACCTCGCCAAGCAGCACCGTGATTAGGAATCACATTAATGCAGTGCCCGAGAAGCTGTATTTGTTACAGCTCTGAGAGTATATAACGGCTAACGCCCCATCGTCAAGGAAATCCTGGCCGGGCTGGTGCGCATATGGAGATTCAACAGAATATGAAGGAGACTCGACAGCAGAAGAGTTGCAGTTTGACCTTTTTACAAAACTTTATTTTTACCTTTTTCAATAAACATTTTGCTAGTACGCAGTATAAAAGTTTAATCTTTGGCCGTTTTTTTTATTTGGGTTGATAAGGGTACATTATTGACAGTATTCTGAGAATACTGTCCAGAATAGTCCTAGTTTTATTTACTAAGATTTATTATCCCACTCTTTGTGCGATATGTCGTCTTCCATTCGTAGCACAGGAGAGAAGAGTTACTGTCCTTATGATTATTATGCCATATATTGTTACTATAGTTCTGAATGATATTATTATACATGATGGTATTTTCGATACAAATTCCAAAACCAGGCTGTCCTTCCGTCTTGCATGCATCAGTTTGCGACCACGCCATAGGAACTGTCTCGTGTCGTCATGTAAACGATGATGTGAAAACGATTTCATTCATTAGTCGCAAGTACAAAAAAAAAATCATTCATTAGTCGCGGTAGTACAAAACTACTATCGCCACGACCATCTTCCTAATTTTATCAACTACGTCGAAGCCGACAGATCCCTGGAGCCAGCCTTCAGCGACTGTGCTACTACCGTAGTCATTGAAGACTAGGAATATTACTGCAGAGCTACCTGTTGGTAAGGCAAACGCTAGAGAAGAAGTTAGCAGTCTGGAAATAAACCAGATGTTACGGCCAAGCACGATGAAGGATGTCGAGATACTTGTCGAATACAAAGATGTGTTCTCATACATTCCTGGGAAGCAAGTCATACATTCCATACGTGGCACGTAGACGGTAAGCAGCAGTTACAGGCGCAACTAAAGGCAAAGGAAGAACAGATTGCCGGGGTGGAGGCGGAGTAGCAAGACCCTGCACTGCGCTTGCCAGTTTGCATCTTCGGCACCTTCCTGATGCTGATTCTTTTCAACGAAATATCTCGTAATTTTAGCGAGTCGCCAAATCCTCCATTTGCGCTCAAAAGCCCCAAGTTCCACAAACTTTGGATGCTCTGGAATCTACCAACTTCCGACCAACTGCGTTGCTTTGCAAACTCTGGCCCTCTTCATTTTGTTGCTTTACGGCGTTTTTAAATTTCCGTTTGCTATTATTTTTAACAAGGTATGTGTATTTTACAGAAACCGATTTTAATTAATGTGAAGTTCAGGGAAACTCGCGTTTTAAAACCCTTCGTGAACTAAGGAACCTTGAAGATTCAAATAGAAACGTAGTGTCTAGTCAACGCAATGGAGAAAGACGGACAGCGCAACACAGGATGGCTGTTGTTTATAGCACAAGGTAGGCTGTTGATGAAGAACCAGTTTGATGAAGAACGTCAAAGGAATGGGGACGCAGAAACAGATGTTCAGCAAGTCACATCGACTAATGGTGCGAACTTAAGTTGAGGATACGTCTCATTTGTTTTATTTCATAGTCAGGTAAACTTAGAAATCGCGATGTTCCCGATGGCAACGCAATGAAAAAAAATCGCGCAAGAGAACGGAACTCCATATCCGGCCTTTGGAACCCGATCTTTCCATAACTGACGATTGATTATCATTGAGATAGCTGCTGGACAGATTGCCTGGTCCGTTGGGTGCTAGGCATTTCAAGACTGAACATATGAGGATGGAGTTCCGTAGGAAGTGGAAGGCGTAGGAAGTGGAAGGCGTAGGAAGTGGACTTGTCTTGAAGGCGTTCATACTCGGAGCGTCAAAAATGCTATCAGGGGGCTGTTTACATGTCGGTGACTCAAAGCGAGAAGAAATGTTGTCGCATGGATGTGCTGCAACTCAGTTTTTTAGTTTATGGCTGTGGTCCCTGGTGTTGGTTATTGTTCCAAATTTTAGAAATCTTTATGGGACCTTGTATAAACCGTGGGTATATTTGTAACTTCAACGAGGTCACCACGCAGATGTCGAGAACAGAGGCTTGGAAACTTCATAATCTTTGTGAACGCCTTCGTCTAGTCTGTGCTCCGAGTATGAACGCTTTCAAGAACAGACTAGACGAAGCTTCTCAGGAGGAATGTTCAGTCTTGAAATGCCTAGCACCTTAAGGAACAGGCAATAACTCCAGCAGCTATCTCATTCAGTCGTCAGTTATGGAAAGATCGGCTTCCAAAGGCCGTATCCCTTGTGAATCAAGTCACGAAAAGTACAAGAATCGGCAACAGGCCATGGGCCTATTTCTTCATATTTCTTTCGATTCTATTCTATTCTAATACTGACAAGTTGTCGTCTTCCTACTAAAAAATCTCTGATCCATTTGAGTACATTACTCTCAATTCCCAAAAACTTCAATTTGCGCAACAGCCGCTCACGTGGGACACTGTCAAATGCCTTGGCAAAATCGAGGTACACTGCATCTACTGGCTCCCTTTCGTCCAGCAGGCGGGTCCATTAATTCAGAGTAGGCAAGAGGTTAGTGGTGCAGGATCTACCGGCAATAAAGCCATGTCGACAGTCCGATAGGAGATTATTAGCAGTCAAATGATCTATCAATCGATCCCTCACAACAGATTCCATTACCTTGCAAACGATACTTGTCAAACTGACAGGGCGATAGTTGCCCGGGCAGTTTTTGTCGCCTTTTTTGAACAATGGCGATACTTGAGCTCCTTTCCAGTCAGCCGGCAAGATCCCTTCGTTCGAAGTTTTTTCGAAATATGATATGACGTCAAAGGGCATTTTTTTTTAAGTATGGCATTTTTAACAATATTTCTCTCGAGCGTTTTTACTGCGGTGCGTTAGCTTTCTTTTGCTTGATTTCGAGCTCCTGCGTATAGGTTGAAATCAGCATCGCTATACGAGTCTGTAAATAACGCTGGTATTTAATATTTCAATAACGCTGAAAATATAATTTCAATGTCCGGATAAATCGGGTGGCATGTGATCTGATAGCTGGAGGCTGGGGAAATGCTATAGCTTGACGATGCTGGTGCAGGCGTCGGTTAGATAAATAGTCGCGTGAAAACTGTACAGGAAAGGGGATCGTGACAGCAAGAAGCGCGGCGCGATGCTGATTACAACATGTCTTTCTGGGTATCGGCTTCTAATTAGAAACACAACAATAAAAGGTTTCCAATTAGATATTAGAAACACACTCGGATATCGGCTTCTAATTTACGAAATAAATCGACCATGCATATATGCGCATGCAAAATGTCTGGCTTCTCGCAGTCTTGGTATATAGCGCAACGTCTGCTAAAATATCAATTTTCAGCAATTCTTGACGACAATCGAGTAAAATTGATTCAGAACGTATAACATTAGTATCACTTTTCTGGAGTCTTTAACAGGCAATTCTTCAGACAACAAGGGTGCTTATCGCTTGAAACATCCTTTGTCTTGCTAATGAGACACGAGGCTTGAAACCCACTGATTAGTCTACTGTTATTTTCGCACACGAGTTAGTATATTTTCGAGTTATCATTCTGACTATCTGTCTAGCGTTGGAATTTTCAAAGAAACTTATCAGCCTAGATTGCACCTTCCTCTCTATTTCTTATATAAACACCAGCTCCGTCAAAAAAAAATTCATTTCCACGCTAAATTCAAAGTTCTCTATTTGAATCCAACAAAGTAAGTCAGTTTTTATGTGACAATTCAAAAGCTTAGCTGCCCATTGTATTTAACAACAGTTCGTAGAAAATGAATGTATTTGCTAATTAATTTTAATTTTTACACACTTTTGCTTTGCACTATAAACTTAAGTAGAACATAAATGTTATTTAAAAAAATTAAATTTGATTGATATTCTACTCAAAATCCAGTTATATGAATACGAAATCGTGCAAGCAACGCAATTAATTCAATTTTCCTTTGTCCTTTAGAGATTCCGTTTGCGCACTCGTATGTCCTGATTTATGATCCATTTTCGTTCACGATTGTTCCATTTGTTCAACCAACCCTTTTATTGTGGTGCTATTGGGCAGTTACTGTCTGTCCCGCCCTCTACCAACCCATCGGCAGCCGCTGCTACAGGCTCCACCAGCACGAACGGTCGGTCCGGGAAGCTGAGGCAGTGTGCATTGCGGAAAACTGCAAACTGGCCGACATCAGAACAGAATCAGACATGAAGGCAATCATCAACCATATCAACGCACAGTGTGAGGCTCACGCAGGATCAACTTGTCATTTCGATGTCGCGGCAATCGTGATTTCATTGCCAGAAGTCAATTTGCATTAGTTGAAGAAAGCAAATGCACTGCGATTTCATTAGATTTTGGTGTAAATAGAGGGTGAAAATGTATTAAATCAAAACGTAATACAACGCAAAACACTACACAAACTATTCTGAAAATCTTGCGATTACCTCGAGAATATTTCACTGTGAGATGTTACCGTATATTTGCGAGAGTAATCATGCACTAGCGTTCCTATATAGGATTAATCACATTTCGTTATTGGTTTCTTTTACGAAAGTTTGAGTTAACTGAAGAATTTCAACTACGATATATACTGAAAGGTTTTTGTTTTGTATAAGCAAGATCTCGTATTTAATAGTAGTTTTTATTCAGGAGCTAAATTTTTTACAGATGATTCACTGACTGGTGATTCATGAAGTAGATAGTTGCTGGTGTTGCTTGTCTATACTTCATTGAATACATCTGTTGAAATAACCAGAGAAGTATTTGTGAGGAAAAATTGGTACTGCCAAATAATCTCAATTGCTCAATCTAGACAAGAGTGAAAGCTATCACAATTTAACATGAACGTTCACCTTTACCTGAGCCCCCGGCTTTCAGCCCCCGGCACGTACTGGACATCGGGGCACATCAAGAACGGGCGTTACGTGTGGGGTAACGGCAGAACTGAAGTGCCACAGAAATGGCGAGGCAGGAGTTTTGCAGTTGACGACCACGAGTGTGTTTACGTCTGCTCCCACACTCACCGGTGGGTATTAACTCGTCAATACCAAGTATAAATTCCTACCTTAGAATAAATCATTTAGTTAAGGTTTCGATCTGATAGGTTGCCTCGGGAACAGGATGTCTTCAACACCTTCGTTTCTCCATCGTTTCATAAAAATCTGTCATGGCACTGCAAGACCAAGTCCCAGAATAAAATGTATTTGATTGTTGCAACAACAATATCCGACAAAGTAAGTGAAATCTGTTCTGTATATTCACTTAATAAAGGTAATGGAAGTGAATTTGAATTAGAGGGTGACAGATTTAGCATGATGGTCTTCTCCCTCTCAAAACAGATCTTTGCTGTTTACGATTCAAAAACATATTCCCAGACTTTATTCTTCTTGCCTACAAGCATCCCGGTCAATGGACACGATTTTAGATCTTGTGTGAACAAGTCACGAAAAGTACAAGAATCGGCGACAGGCCACATGCATCAGGCTTATACTCTTCAGCGCCGACATCTCTATGTTATGTTATTGAAGTAGTCATTGAGTTGCATTGTCTCCAGGCTGTGGGAGGCCAAATGCGACGCCCGCAAGCGTTTCATCTGCGTGTGCTGAACCATCACGCTGGAGGCCGCCGGGGCTAGACGTCTCCTCCTGAAGAGGCTGTGTCCTGCGAGGATATCAGCTCCTGCTCGAACGTGAATGAGATACAGAAGATTTTACCTGAAAGTTTCCTTTTTTTGCTGGGAGTTGGGACAATATTTAAAATTATCATTAGTATAATTTTCAACGCGGGCCTCTTAGGTTGAAGAAGTTAGTTGCTGGTGTGACTTGTTTATACTTCATTAAATGTATCTGTTGAAACAACTCGATAAGTACTTGTGAGTAAAAATTTATACTGCAAAATAATCTCAATAGCTCAATCTTGACACGAGTGAAAGCTTGATAATCACATCGGAATAATTTTGAAAAATAATATGTTTACAATCAAAATTGTTTCCTATTTAACACCTTCAATAGTTATTAGGTGACAGAAGACTTTGCTTGCGTGTCAGCTTCCTGTGAATCTCACGGCGATGTGGATGATATGAATGTCACCTCTCCTGCATGCAACTTTCCACTTTAGACGAGGTTGTGAAGAACTTGATACGATGAAACGGTGGTCGAATTCACTATTATCAGATGTGACACACTATTACGTACGCCCTTATTTTTGCATAGCGCAGCGCACGTGGTGTAATTAATAGATTCTTGCTACCGTACCTCTGCTAAATAATTATGTTGGTTGTTGCCGATTAAAACAGTTATGTCTACGGCAATGCATAACGATCTCAATTTACATGATTAATGAATTTTAAAACGACGTGAAATAGTTGACAAGTAATTAATGTTCATGATGATTGAGAGGTAGATGCGTAATTGGAATTATTATCTCAGGAATTCCTAACACAGGAGAAAAATCTCCTGATTCACCTGGTTGGTTGTCGCAAAAAAATAAACATGCATGGCTGACAGCTAAACTCACCATCATGACGGTCTTTGAGTGCCTTTCGATTTGTCAGTTTAAAAATAATAATAATGATGATTGCGGTGGCAGCGGTAAGTAGGCCTTTAGCCCTTGGCCGATTCTGAACATCGCAGAACATTCACAGCTTGTTGCAGGTCTCGAACACGCAACTCACTGATCTGATTTTGTTTTGCTTGGCCGCCCAGCATCCTCGCTCAGCAAAACAGCCTGCAAAAGTTTTTCAGAGAACATGCTCCGAAAATTCTTTCAAAAATGTGCCCGAAAAATTTCGGAGGAGTTATGTAATGCAACTGTCGAAGATCATGGACACGAAAGTCTACAATGTATGGACGATAAGTTGATAGCATTCATGTAATACGTAAAAGTTGTGATTATGATTTAATTTAGAGATCATGAATTGATAAAATGGTTGAAAAATTTTTTACTTATGCAAATTTGTTGAAGATTCATTTACCCTATTGAAAATTAATCGCTCTATCAATTATCTTAGACAACACACATAACGGTCATTAGTTACATAACGGTCATTAGTGGCATCGTACGGGTTTCACTTTACTCTCATGACCTATACTGCCGCACAATATGGTCTATGGCTTTGGGCTGCATCGTTGCCAGATGGTTTATTTCTATACCAGATTTCACAAATCTGGTATTTTCAAAAGGTGTTTGGTATGAATATTTTAGTCTGGTATATTGGCCTAAATCTGACATTTTCTAGTATTTTTTACTTACTGCAAATTTACTGCATTAAGTTACACCTCTGAAGTTTGAACTTCCACCAGCGTGGACGTGGTTTATATAGATTACCTTTAGAGCGGCGCGACTGCGGTAGAGGTTCCCGCCATTTTTGGAACCGCAAGTTTACCGCTTGATGAAATAACCCTAATCTAATTGTTAACATTTAACAAAAGTGCTTAGTGCAATATAAGCACGAGTGTGATGATTCTTGATTGATTACTAATCAGTGATGATATGGCCTAGGACGAGTGAGGTTGCCGAACCTATGGTTGAATTAATACTTTTACTTCAACCATTGCCGAACAATCTCTGCGACCCAAGCTCCACCATTTGTGTATGGTGGTTTTGAATTCTAGAGTGCCACTTATTGGAGTGCCACTTTAATTCTGGGATGCCATTGTCACTGATCTTGATGTCACTGATCTTGAAAATCATCATCCATTCATGGAACTGGCTGCCTACTGCGCCACTTCTCTACTTTGACCTGCCTCTAATGCATTCGTGGAGCGAGTGTATTCACAAATCACCTATAAGACAAACAAGCAATGAAACATAATTTCCACTAAGGTACTGGAGCCCCTTATTCGGACCAAAAGCTATCTGCTCAGCCGCAACAAGTGAACAAACCCGAAATGTTAGATTAATGCAATATGCAAGCATGTACGAAAATAAGCAAAATGAAGATGACCTGTTTCCGGGGCTTGTTTCCGGGGCTTGCTCATGTTGAGCGGGTGGATAGCTACAGGTCAGCATAGCCCAAGTCCACAGAGCGATTCATATACCTTCCCGAGCGTAACGCAGCCGGGCATTTTCACGGCTTTTGACACAAAGCGCCCACCACAACAGCGCAGTTCAGTCACAGGTCGCAGCGCATACAGGCCGGAGCGCAGCAGGCCCTACCGCAACAGCTACTCCTAACGTACCCAACCTAACCTAACCTGTGCCGCCTGTTGCGGTAGGGCCTGTTGCGCTCCGGCCAGTCGGGCTCCGGCGCTGTGAGGCAGTGGCTGTGTTGTGCAAAGCGGATTTACTGTTAGCCGGAGTTACCAACAGCTCATTGATCTGAGGCTATGTGTAGATATTGCATGCTGATGGTTGGCGTTGGGCCCAGGGCCTGTTTACGAGTCAATTTTGTTACCCACGGCTGCGCTCCCATGTTGAGCGAAGGGGAAGAAGTGCCGCACTGTGATAAAAAAAAGGAAAAAAGTGACAATGTAATCGAACACAGGAAAAGAAAAGTGTCAAATGTTCCAAACAGAGGGAAAAAATAAAACGTGTTCAATTTGGCTAGTTATCGTCAAGCCAGATAAATGCACAGTACATGAGATAATTTTTTTTCTTTTTCTAACCAACCTACTGACGATTAATCTTATTAAATTTTGAGGTATTAATCTGTTTATGAACAATAGAATTTCTGGTATTTTGAGCTAGGAAATCTGGTATTTTCGCCAAGAAAAAACCCTGGCACACCTGGCAACACTGCAGTTTGCTATCGTCGCGCAGCGTTGCCAGATGGCATATTTCTATACCAGATGTCACAAATCTGGTAATTTCAGATAGTGTCTGGTATGAATATTTTAGATATGGTGTTCTGTTATAATTGCCTAAATCTGGTATTTTCTGACTTACTGAAAATTTACTGCATTAAGTTCCACGTCTGAAGTTTGAACTTCCTCCAGCGTAGGCGTGGATTATATAGATTACCTTCAGACNTTTCCGTAGCTTGGTCATGTTGAGCGGAGAGAAAGAAGAAGTGCCACACTGACACTTTGATGAAACAAGGAAAAAGTGTCAATGTAATCAAACACCGGATAAGAAAAGTGTCAAAATGTTTCAAACAGAGGGAAAAAATATAACGTGTTCAATTTGGCTAATTGTCGTCAAGCCCGATAACTGCACAGTACACAAGATAATTTTTTTTTTCTTTTTCTAACCAACGTTTCTGACGAATAGTTTCATTAAATTTGGAGGTATTAGTCTGTTTTTTCAACAATAGAATTTCTGGTATTTTGAGCTAGGCAATCTGGTATTATCGCCAAGAAAAAACCTGGCAACACTGTCGTCGCGTAATTCACGTTGGCAGTTGGCAGAGTAACGTTCACGACAGTGCAGTGAACGGTGCATGTTACTATGAAATGATAAGTGATCCCACTCTAGTGATGATGCGAGTGTTTTTCGTACAGTCGTACGCTATGTTTTATCTGACTTAGTGACAAATTATTAATACTTGAAGACGAAGTTTAAGAAGCACTTCATCATTTTAGCGTTGACACTTGACCGTTATTACTGATAGTATGATAACATACTTTGAAATGCTCTTGCAAGGACTGCATAGCAGTAGCACAACGTAGCCTACGGCTACAGCTGTAGTCTAGCCCCTAGTGAGCCTACCACAACGTTCTCAGATTATCAGATACTTTTAAACGTGTGATGCTGACTGCTGACTGAGTGCTGAGACATTTTAGTTTGATGCTGTATCAACAATAATCAAGAGTATCAATTAATAATAAAATGATGATTAATGAGCCATCAGCCATGCTCAGCATCCTATCCTTATTATGTAATGATTTTAGCCTTTTTAGGCTCATTGACATTTAAGCCTAGCCTAGTCAGCCTACCTGATAGGCTGAAATCTGAATGGCTGATACTAAGTGAAAGGTGTGGACTGTGGACTTACTTTAATGTGAAAATGATGTGAATAGCAATTGCTTGGTGGGCTATGAATGAATTATTATGAATAACTTGAGAAATATGTGAATGAGGCTGCGTGCGCCTGGCTGCCAGGGTCACATGCACCTAAGCCTAAGGGACCAATAACTTGATAAGTATGTTTGCAAAAGGAAAAAATAAAAGTGTGGAGAGAAAAAAAAGTAGGCCTATGGAAAAGTGTGGCAGTGCCTGGTATTATATATGGAATGGATGTTATTGCATGGAAATGATGGAATGATGGCGAATTGGATAAATTGAAGGTTGTACAGAATAGGATAGCTTGCTAAACTCGTGATTGGGGCCCCAAGTATTTTCCGTTTCGTCTTCATGATCCGATTGCACGATTTTCATTTTCACTAGGAATTCTTGTATTGATATATTCACTCTCAGCTCATCAGGCCATTTTCGTAAAATATAGGAACTTAATGTAAATTTAAGCATTTTATTCATCAAATAGTCTTTTCAAGCTTTCTTTTATTTTTCAGTTAACCTGTGCGAAATATTATAATTCTATAAATAATATGTTATTTTCAAGGAATAATGCATATATTATACAAATATTGCATCCTAGTTGTATTAAATATATTCATAGAATGGCATAATTATTTTACTGTTTATGTATTTTAGCGAAATAGAGCAAATGTAGTAAAAAATTTGGTGTCTAATCAGACGATAACCTTCGCGTCAGCCATCCTGGCATGCCTGAAATACATTCAATCCTGACGATTAACGTATACAATAAGTTAGGTGAATGGAAGCATCTGAACATCAATAAACATTTAATGCTTCTTGGTAGAAACCTTAAATATGTAGATTTAGAAGCAGAAATACAATAATACGACAATGATTTTGACCACGGTCGAGTCCAAAATTTTGAAAGAGATCAAATTCGTGGATTCTCCCGTCGAAAATGAACCTGGATGCAAAAAGACCGTTTTAATAATTACTTCAAATATGTAGAACGACAAAATTACTTCAAATGTAGAACGACTATTAAACATTTTAATTATCAAAATTC